GAGAATAACGAGTAATGAATATACTTTATAGGGATCTGCAGATAAATGTTTAGTCTTCTCAAGCAGCAACTATCAAATATCTCTCCTGATTGTTGGCACTTGACAATCACCTTCCCTGAATTTTACTCAGGTGTAACTTAAGCCTGATTTTAGGGTTGTTTATATTTCACATCATTAATCAGAATCTGCAAAGTAACTAAAATAAATGTAGTGGAGTAAAAATACCAGGTTAACCTCTGAATTCTAGTTGAGTAGAATTGCTGTTTTGTTTAGTGATGGATATTGAATATGGAATAAAGGTTTTGACAAGACCTGGTGTAACAATAATCAAAAAGGACATTAAAAGAGCTCCAGATGTGAATGATCTAAACAAAACAGCACACCTGAAATGTATATTTAAATACTTTATTAAGGGCAGTGAATTAGTTTTTTCTGTATGTTTTTCAAATCAGTGTTATACAGTGTTGTAGCAAATACTTTGGATGGTGGCTTAAAGCCCCCCTCCGCTACGCGCCGTTCGTTAGATGAGGCTGGTTATATTTAATAAAGAAAGAATTCAAAACACCGGAATAAAGGTTATAACAATAATCTGATTTTACTGGTAAGAAACAAAACACGTATACAAGTTTACAGAGTACTCCGGACTTCAGGTTCCACTGCTGTGCGATACAGGTATCGGGACCAGCCAGTCAGAAAACAGGAAGCATTTTACATGCAAAAACAACAGTATTCATATTCATATTTTGGGGCGGAGATGTGTTAACTTCTTCCTTCCCATTTTACTCCGAAGCGAATCAAAGAGTCCGTGGGGAGGAGCTGTGTGAGCTGCTCACTCCCCCAGGTGTTTTTACTGGTTGGATTCACTTCTGGTCGGGTCCAATACAGCGAATCAGAGTTCTGAGAAAAAGTATGTTTTCTTCTGAGCAGAGCGTGAGATTCGGAAGTTCACAAGGGCAAAGTCAATCTTATCTCTGCACCTGTATTCACTCCTTTACTTTCCCAAGGAATATTTCACACAAACTATTCTTTCCCAGACAACCAAACATTGTACACAGATATATTGATGCCCAGAAAGAACCTTGAAAATAATATGTGTGTGTGCTGGTGGAAGGAGGTGTATGTGTGTGTAACAGGATCTCTGGGTCAGTGAGTTGTAAGTGAGAAGACAATATCTATATATGGGATTACTTAAGACAGTTCAAACAATACATGTTCACTAAAATACAATTCAAAATAATACATGTTTACTTCAATACAGTTTAGAACCATATCAGTTTATTTTAACAGTAAGTGTCATAGACAGTGTTACATTGCTATTATTATCCTTAAAATATATGTAAAACAAAACCACTTATGATCTTTTTATTTGAGTGGTTTACTAATGACAGTTAATTCTGTTTTTGCGATTGATGGTTTCATTTTTGTGAAAAATAATAAAATAATAAAATTCAATAACGTGCTTTAACCACTAGATGTGCCTTTCTATCAGCTGTGCACCGTTATGGTGTAAATACAGCCTATCTACCAATTGGATCAAATATAAAAGTCAGCCGAATTAGTATTGATACTGCAAGGAGACGTATTGTGTGAAAAGAAATGTAAGATGTTGTTTAATTGCTGATATATTGATGATCCACGTCACGTTTTCAGTTTTGGCGACAGTTCTTCCTGTTTGTCCAGAAGTCTTCTCATCAGGGCTCTATAAATACAGAACTACGGCAGATATGTCATATTTAATGCAGCCGAACCGTGTATTACAATGCCGTTATGTGATGACCTCCAAAGAGAAAAGCAAGCAAACTCGGAATAAAGTATTATTTTTTTTTTTTTTAAATGTTTTCGGATTTCACATCAACAGGAAGTCCGGTTAACTAAAATGTCCGTGCGGAACAATACCCCCAACCCATAGATCCGTGGGTGAATAATGTCAATCACCACATTACACACATCCCTTCACATTTACATTTGAATTTACATTAAAGTATTTCGTGAGGCCTTCTAAAATGTTTTTAAATATAATTAGGGTTGTAGTTGAAGAGTTTGTAAATTGCGTTGCCTGGCAACGCAATCGCACAACGTCACGTCCGTTAATTCCACATCCACACCTTTATATATACAGTCAATGATCAACACACATGGATTAACATCGATTTAATACATTAATGTAGCCTTTGTTTCTGCTAAAAGAGGTGTCGACCAGCTAGGGCAACAAGAAAATCGGCGAAATCGAGTGTGACGATTAAAAAATAAATGAAAAACATTTTGACAATAAAAACCGACCAATAGGCGCGGTAGACCATTTGCTTGGCACTTCCGGGTATTTCTCCATTGGTTGGGCCATGTTAACAATACCGTGTAACTGTCACGTTTGAAGGGACGAAACCGTGACATATTCACGTCTCCCAGCATGGTAGATCGTCACATGTTCACGTCTGGCCGTGATACCGGGTTGGTTTTAATATATAATCTGTACATTACTGTAATGTTTTAACGTTTGAACAGCTCCACTGACGCTGTATAGGCAGGTGAAGTATACTGTACAATCCTGTGCTTTTCGTTATCACAAAATAATGAGTATTAAAATAAGAATAAGAAGACAGGAATCAGTTTCTTACATCAAAGCATTTACATAAAGATAATACTTCACCAACAAACCTTGTTATACTTTATTACCTGTGACAAATGGATTGTTTTCACATTGACAGTTTCTGAGAGTAAGTCATTTATTATCAGTTAACTTTTTTTTACTGTATATACAAATAGTATTTTGGTTATTATATTTAAGTACAGTTCACACTTAAATTAGTTTTTTACATACTGTATGCAGAAAATATGTAGGATCCAAGGAGTGCATGTAACCCACCAATTATACATCATAATGTTATCATTCTGTGAAATGTTGTTTTCCAACAGACACACCTGAGGCTGTCCTCACTGTGTCTCCATCATGGCTGAGTCCTGGAGCCTCAGTAACTCTGAACTGCAGGGTTGATCATCCGTCTGCTGGCTGGAGCTTCTACTGGTATAAGGCTGTTCCCAAACTGTCAGACCACTCCAACAACTCCTACAACTCCTACAGCTCCTACAGCTATGAGCTGCTACCTGGCAGTGAGAAAGGGAATGAACAGGATGTCTTCATCATTGATGGACAAACACACACAGCAGGATATGTGTGCAGAGCAGGAAGAGGAGATCCAGTGTATTACAGTTGGCACAGCAAACCTAAGTTTGTCTGGTCTGGAGGTCAGTATGTTCTTCCTTTTTCTTTCTTTCTGTAGTTTGTACCACCATTAGGCCAACAAATGTCTTTATCAAAGTTTGCCTGGTCTTGAGGTTTGTTTTGACTTTTCCATTATTGCAAAATGGAACAAAGTCACTTATGGCGCGTTTCCACTACAGCGCGGAGCACGGTTTAAGAGGGCTGTGACGTCAGCGGCCCGTTTTTGGTTGCGTTTCCACTTGGCCTAGTACCGGCCGGCGGGTCCTAATTCACAGTTTTTCTGGCCTCATAAAATCGTGGGTCTAGGGCCAGAGACAACGAGGCTGAGTCGGGCTGAGTATGCTAAACTAGAGAGAGAATCGCTGGCAAGGGGGCTACAACTACAACAAGATGGACATATTTGACCGTGATTTAATTGTAATACACGTTTCAAATGATGCCGAAGTAACAACATACTGATACCGGTTAGTAAAACCATGAATTAATGCTTTGACAAGTCTGCAGACAGACGGCAGGCGAAAAACCTTTTAAATGCGTTTTTTTCTAAATGGAGATTGGCTAAGCTAACGCAGTATATGCTCCGACCGTCCACACTCACAACAACGGCCTATACAGACATAAATAAAGCAGCGACTGTATTCACCATGACACAGACAGTCTGTGGTTTGTACTTGTTTAACTTTTGTCTAGTTTCTGAACAGATATGAGGAGCTGTGAGCTCTGAGTGCTAACAGCTAACGGCTGATGTTGTTTTTCTGGGGTTCTCATTGAAGATGACGTCACGGCTCCGCCTACACTGCGTTACTATAGATACTACCCCAGTTCCTAAACTGTAATGGAAATGCGCCATAAAGTGAGCCAGTCCTAACGAGGCCTAGCCATACCGAGCGAGGCCGTGCGAGGCCGTGTAGTGGAAATGCGCCATTATTTTGGGAACTTTTCTTTTATACCAGCATCAGGTCAGAGTTCAGTTTTCAAAACCTTTCTCTAAAACAGAATGATGATTGACTGATTCATCTTCTGGACTTGACTGCATTTGAACACAAAATAATCTCTTTTCATCCTGACACATGAGTTGTTGTTCGCGATGGTTCAAACCTTAGACTTTGTAAATCCAAAACCTAATAATATAAGGCTTCTACAATACATTAGATATAACTGGTAAGTGTTTTCTTTATTTTTTTAGTTTGGAATATGTTTTAAGATATTTATCTGCTGGTTAAATAGTTTAAGACATAAACAATACATATAATTAAACACATTTGTAGTGTGAGATTGAGGCACTGGTACTTTCACTTTTGTTTTCCTCCTACTTTAGTTTGTTCCCGTTTGTTTTTTCAGGGTCAATAAAGTGGCAGTTTTGCCATACCAATGCATTGTCTTTTTCAGTCTGCATGGTTTAAATGTCCACTCTTTGTGTGTTTTAGAAATGAATTCAGCAGCGTCTCTCACAGTGAGTCCTGACAGTGTGCAGCACTTCACCAAAACGTCTGTGTCACTGAGCTGTGAGGGAAACTCCACTGAGTGGAAAGTGAGGATGTTTACGAAACCTGACTACCTTTATCCCTGTTCTTCCTGGGGGACAATGACTGGATCCACATGCACAATAACCAGCAGACAGGTTAGTGGAGTGTTCTGGTGTGAGTCTGAAACCGGACAGTTCAGTAATGCAGTCAACATCACCATAGATGGTGAGTTTTAATTATTTAAAATGTTTGTTTGAATCCAAGGAGTTATACATCATAACGTTATCATTCTGTGAAATGTTGTTTTCCAACAGACAGACCTGAGGCTGTCCTCACTGTGTCTCCATCATGGCCGAGTCCTGGAGCCTCAGTAACTCTGAACTGCAGGCTTGATCATCCGTCTGCTGGCTGGAGCTTCTACTGGTATAAGGCTGTTCCCAAACTGCCAGACCACTCCTACAACTCCTACAGCTATGAGCTGCTACCTGGCAGCGAGAATGGGACTGAACAGCATCTCTTCATCATTGATGGACAAACACACACAGCAGGATATGTGTGCAGAGCAGGAAGAGAGGATCCAGTGTTTTACAGTTGGCAGAGTAAACCTAAGTTTGTCTGGTCTGGAGGTCAGTATGTTCTTCCTTTTTCTTTCTTTCTGTAGTTTGTGCCACCATTAGGCCAACAAATGTCTTTATCAAAGTTTGCCTGGTCTTGAGGTTTGTTTTGACTTTTCCATTATTGCAAAATGGAACAAAGTCACTTATTTTGGGAACTTTTCTTTTACACCAGCATCAGGTCATAGTTCAGTTTTCAAAACCTTTCTCTAAAACAGAATGATGATTGACTGATTCATCTTCTGGACTTGACTGAATTTGAACACAAAATAATCTCTTTTCATCCTGACACATGAGTTGTTGTTCGCCATGGTTCAAACTTTAGACTTTGTCAATCCAAAACCTAATAATATAAGGCTTCTACAATACATTAGATATAACTGGTAAGTGTTTTCTTTATTAGTTTGGAATATGTTTTAAGATATTTATCTGCTGCTTAAATAGTTTAAGACATAAACAATACATATAATTAAACACATTTGTAGTGTGAGATTGAGGCACTGGTACTTTCACTTTTGTTTTCCTCCTACTTTAGTTTGTTCCCGTTTGTTTTTTCAGGGTAAATTAAGTGGCAGTTTTGCCATACCAATGCATTGTCTTTTTCAGTCTGCATGGTTTAAATGTTCACTCTTTGTGTGTTTCAGATTTGAATTCAGCAGCGTCTCTCACAGTGAGTCCTGACAGTGTGCAGCACTTCCCCACAACGTCTGTGTCACTGAGCTGTGAGGGAAACTCCACAGAGTGGAGAGTGAGGACGTTTACGAAATCATACCTTTATCCCTGTTCTTCCTCGGGGAAAATGACTGGATCCACATGCACAATAACCAGCAGCTGGGTTAGTGGAGTGTTCTGGTGTGAGTCTGAAACAGGACAGTTCAGTAATGCAGTCAACATCACCATAGATGGTGAGTTTTAATTATTTAAAATGTTTGTTTCTGAAGTATTATGTTGTTTTGAAATGTGAAGGTGACAACAAGCATTAGCCAAATGTCTCTTCAAATTAGTAAAACTTCATAAAAAAGGCTAATTTGCGAAGTGATTTCCAGGGGTACTTCTCTCAAAGATCAAAGATAATATTCTGTGTTTTAATGTCCTCATACATCTACCTGACATTTCAGCTTCTGCCAGACTAGGCCAGTTGTGCATAAACATATTAAATCTGCAAAAGCTGATGACTCTGTCAAAGCCTTTATATTCTTTGATTTCTTTTCAGATGATGAAATGATCCTGGTGAGTCCTGTCCGTCCTGTGGCTGAGGGACGTTCTGTCACTCTTAGCTGCAAGTTCAAGACAGGATCTGTTCTTTATAATGTGGATTTCTATAAAGATGACAAACTCATCCAGAACGATACCAGGAAGGAGCTGAACATCTCTGCAGTGTCAAAGTCAGACGAAGGCTTTTATAAATGTAAACAGAGAGATTCAGCAGATGGTAGGACGTCACCAGAGAGTTGGTTCTCAGTCAAATGTAAGTATGATTTTTAAAACCCTTCCTTTTTTGTAAGCTGTGTTACAGTCTGAGATAAAGAAAGTTTAGTTTCATCTGAATTAAACTGTGTTTGTGTAAGAGAGAAAGGTTTTATAAAGTTAATCTATTACAGGAAAGTGTTGGAGATATAATATTAATAAAGATTACTTATAATAGCAGCGTCCAGGCCTGGAAAAGCCTCTCAATTTCCCATTCTTCTGATCGTTGGGCTGCTTGGTGGAGTTGTACTGATTATTCTCCTGCTGCTGTTCCTGCATTTATACAGAAAGTCAAAAGGTGAGATCATTTTCTTCTGATATCAGATGGACTCTAATGTAACCACACGTACTGTTTTAACAGTAGGACACTTTGCAAAACATAATAACATAGCAGCAAATGTCTTCTTTTAACAGATTCATGCTGTATCAGGTTGGTACAACGCTCTTTTTTATTTTATTATGAACATGACAGCAGTGATATGTTCCTTTATAAATCCACTTCATTTACTACATGTGTTTTGCCCACCAGATCTCAGAGGACCAATCAGAGCACTGCTAGAGACCACATGATCAACCAGGACGAAACTAACCAAAGGGAATATGCTTCCGTTCTTCAGGGTCAGCCTGAATCCTTAATACGTTTTGATTTTTTTGTGAACGTAGCATCCGCGTAGCATTTCCATTTCTCATTGGTTGTTTTAAAAAATGTAGGAGTTCATACAGAGGGATTTTAATATGAATTGGGTTTGATTTTGATTTCTCTTCAGATAATGCCTGTCTCTATGAAACAATCAAAGGCCCTGAAGGACCTGCAAATGGTACAGTATAGTAAATATAAATACTGGAATATGACAATTCAAGGTTCACTCTTTTAAATATAAAATACATTTTATATTTCAGATGAATCCAGGGATGCGACATATTCTGTGCTCGAGCTCAAAAAAATGTCTAAGAAGGGTGAGTATTTGATTTATATGTCGTAATAACATACAATAATTAAGGTGCTTTTGTAGGCTAGCAGTGCCTAAATTAAGTGAAGTAGGGCCTATTGTCTTTTCATGCTTTCTCCTGATCTGTCTAACAGGGGGGGGAAATGAACCGGAGGATTGTGTTTACTCACATGTGCAGATGGCATCAGCTGCAGGTATGAAGAAATACTACTCGCTTTAAGCTTTTGATATGGTTACGTGCTGCCTGCTAGGGTGTCATTTTAAAATGTACCACAAGGTGTTGCCAAAGTCAGCAATGTTCAAATCCTTAAAGGGGACCTATCATGCAAAATGCACTTTTGTACGTCTTTTATACATGAATATGTGTCCCCGGTGTTCCAGGGAACTCACCAAGTGTCAGAAAACACAACCCTCTCTATTTTCCTCCATACCAAAATCTCTAAAAAAGGGGCTGCAACGGATCTGATAAAAACTGATCCAGATTTGAACACTGTCCTGACGTCAGGACAGTGGCGCTACGGCTATTGGGCCAACTCCACCAATCAGGAGGAGACAGCCACGGCCATTGCCGTTCGAAAGCGCTGGAGACGCTGTAGTACATATGGCTGGCCAGTAGATGGTGCTGTTCTCACTGAATCTGCCCTTGCAACTAAAGAGCTAAAAAAAATTCAAATTGAGCAAAATGAGGCATGGCTAAAATGCATGATCTGTTTGGTATTTTGAAAAAAAAAAAGTATAAATATGCCTTATATAGGTATGGTCCTACACTATATTATTCAAATATAGCATGATAGGTCCACTTTAACATAACTTTTTCAATGTTTGTTAAGTTTATTTTCTGACAATTCTATGCATTCATGAAATAATCATCAGGGCATATTACATTTCATTTATCTGTATCAATACATGTTTAATTGTTGTGAATCTATCTAACTAACTTTAATTTGATATTGTGTCAATCGGAATGACTGCTTTTTACATATAACAAAACCAACAACACTAATTATTTTTTTACTTTCAACAAATGCAATATATGCATGGATTAAACATTCACTTTTTAGGCTTGTTTAATCTCTTTTTGCATGCAATGTCTTTTACAGTTTTCACGGTTAAAATGTCCCCTTTTTGTTTTTCAGATTTGAATTCAGCAGCGTCTCTCATAGTGAGTCCTGACAGTGGGCAGCACGTCACCAAAACGTCTGTGTCACTGAGCTGTGAGGGAAACTCCACTGATAATCCATCATAACATTTATGTCAAAATGGAGTTTTCATAGAGTGTATGAGAGCTACAACCCAGCTTCCGGTTTTGGGCATTCTGGCTACGCATCACTCATTCACCAATGGGTAATGTTTAGATGGATTTTAGGAACTTCCCCTCGATTATATTGGCTCTAACGGTTAAAAATAGGTGTCAATTGTCAAAATCGAACGAGGGGGTCCATAGATATGGAAAATGCACCCAAATGACCCCAGAAGTGAGGTTTTTTTTCTAAATCTCTCTATAAAGGTCAAATGTCACTTGTTTTGCATCAATCTTGATACAGGGTACTTATTATATGTTATAGTTTGGATTCCTAAAGCTTTTAGTCTACTATCCCATCATTCAAGGGTGGTTTTTTGTGTGAGGGTGATGTGTTTTCTTTTGGACGGAGAGGGACGACGATGACGACACCTCGTCGTCTGGGATTTCCGGCGACCGCCAGGAAGGCCAACAGCACAGGTCTGCGCGACAGGACTTCCCGGCGGTGATGACTATGGCGGCGGAGCGTGCAGGCTTGCCGCTCCCCCCACCGTTGCCACCGAGGCCGGTGAGCCGCCTGTGTCAGGGCTTCTACGGCCCGGCCAGCACAACCGGCCTTCGTTTCACCCCCCCTGCCAGACATCTGGCGGTGTGTGGAGGCCACATGGCGGCAGCCACTGAGAACGAAGGCTCCGGTGGCTACTTGGGCTGGAATCCTCAGAGTGGAGGGCCACTCGGACACGGAGGGTCCCGGTGTGCCCCCACTGGATGAAAGCCTGGCGGCCCATCTGCTTCCGCAGGCAGCCGGGTGGGCAGAGGGGAGAAGGCCCCTGCCCCCCGTTGCCGCGTGACCGCGAAATGCTTGAGTATCTGGATAAGATATTCAGGCTCGGGGCGCAGATAGCGGCGGCGGCCAGTAATCTTGGTGTGTTGGGAGTGTCGCTGATTACCTCTCAGCAGGACACCTCCGAGACGATCTCCTTGGGGCCCCCGTTGTTATTCTTTTTCTCATATTTTTTTTTTATGTCTCTTAAACCGTTATCCCGACTTTTTTCTTTTTTTATCGTCTTTTTTCTTTTTTTCACGAGATACTAACCCGTTATCCCGACTTTTTTTTTTTTTTCCATGTCCCTTTAGGGGCTCCGTAGACTCTAGAGACAAACCAGGGGACTTTATTTTTAATCTGTGTCTGTCCATTTGGTGTAGTATTTTATCCAATATTACATTTTGTCTATATATTAGTCACTTTCTTATGAAATGCCAGGTTTTAGGCCTTGGTTTGAACATTCAATCCTGAAAATGAAAAATATACAGTCTATGGTGTGAACGCGATCTGCTCTTTAGTTCATCAGAACTAAAGAGTTCTGATGAACTAAGTACGGCAAATTACTTGGTGTGAAAGCGTCTAATTATTTGTACGATTCAGTATCTGTTCACACAGCAATTACGAGAGCCCACAGGAAACATTATATTTAAAGTTATAGCTTGTAGCCTACATACTGTGACGACCCCTCCACACCACTAGGCGTTCCGTGGTCTCTCTCTTGTTTGCAGGTTCCAGTGCTGTGGGTGATCGTGGACTGACGAGCTGCACCTGGGCGGCTGCTATAATACAGCCCATCGCGTTTCGGGAGGCCCTCTCTCAATCCTCTCGCACACTTCCCGTGTAAGCCTCGCGCCGCGGCTGTTTATTTTTGTGTCCACTAATAAATTATTGTTATATTTTCATACCCCTCGTCTCGACTCCCAACTTTTTGTTACAGCCCACGAGCCAGGTTGTAACACATACAAAATGTACATTATAATTATGTTAAAAAACGATTTCATAAAGGTTTATTTTCTGCTCATATGTGGTCCATGTTTCGGTAAGCCATCAAGTTGACTTCCGTTGAGTATAACTATTATTAAAGATTGATATAAAATAAAAACTGTATATATTTAAATGCCCTCTTTATACCTCTATACTAGTATTTCCTGTGAAGTGTCATGCAAATGTATGTGTAGTCATTCAAAGGAGAGGATGTTCAAAAATGGCGTTTATTTAAAAAAGAAAAAAAAAGAAACAAGAAGACCACCATGCTGACTTCTGCCTACTGAACAGAAACATTGTAGATAGAAAATGGCGTTGGACGTTCGTTGACACAAAGCTCCTTATTAAAATAAATAAATACAATATCCTCCCCGAATCAGTTTCTCTTCACAGGAACACAGAGAAACCCGTCCCACCGCTACACACCAGAACAAAGTCAGAGAACATTTGACACATTTAGCTTAAACTCCACACAGTGTCATCCAGACGTTAAACAGACGTGATGTTCAGAGCATCAGATTCAGTGTCACGTAACAATTACACAAATCATGTCAGTAGTGTTCAATGTTCACTAACGTAGGTAAATATAACTGGAAATGAAAAAGCTGCCATGGTTATTATGGTGCTTTTATACAATCAGTGCCTTCACTGAGGGGGTGATCTCTGGAAGAGTCACGTAACAGAATAAATATATATATTAAAGAGGAGTGTTACAGTAATGCCGAATTGTAGTGCCAGGCCCAGGGTCAGTTAGCATTTTTAGCCGCGGGATTCCTCTGCAGATTTCCAATGCTTTTCTGATAGAATTTGTTATTTATTTGAGAAATAATGTGGTTCAATTAAGAGTTGTTCTTCCTTAGAAATTGTAGCTGTAAATGTGATACAGATGAGAAGACAGATATTGTCATGTCTGTGCTTCAAGTATAGAACCGGGAGGCGATTAGCTTAGCATAAAGCTAGTACACAGCTATCAAATGCATTTTTTTACACCACCTATCAACATTTCTAAGGTGTATTGATAAGGACATTGAGATACAGTAATGCCAAATGTTGGATTTGGAGTGATGTTTGTGCTATAACTATTTCTTGACAAACAACTGTTTATGGTGAAAGCTAATACAAATCCCTCTAAGACCATCATTTGTCATTTTTGCAACAAAAGAATTATTTGTAGCAGGATTAAACTTGTATTGGAAATCTGCTGTGCATGCAAACCCACGGTAAAACAATAACAACAACAAATCTGGGCTGGCCTACAACACATACAAACAAAAGCAAATGTTCATTTTGACATTATAGACACAATACAAATTCTCGTCAGTCATCAGTCCTTATTTAAATAAAATAAAAGTGTCTTCCAGAGGGCACATATTCAAACTGAACCATCCCAAAATTAAAATTAAAATGTCCGACCCTTTACCCTCCATTAAACAAGGAACCAGACCCTAACTTCCTTGTTTATCTTCCTAATGCAGTGAAACAGGAGAGCTACACCTGTAATCTGCCAATTTATTACACACATGTCCTTCCCACAGGCCGGAGAACATAGAAATCATAAACCATGAGAAATGCTGGTGTGAGGAAATGTGCGACAAATCTGGATGTGCTTCTAGAGAGAGGAAACTACACTGAGCAGAGACGCTGGATGCTTTTATTTTAAGAGGGTCCTGTTTAAAAGCTTTGCGGCCGTCAGTGACTGGTTATAAGTCGGCCGGTTCTTAGCTTGGCTCAGTTTCAATCGCTGTCCTCAGGATAATCCTAACTACTGTACGCTAGCTGTGGCTTCTCATGCTTTCTTCACCTGACATTAGAGTGAGGAAACAGCTATGCCGAGAATAACTCGTGAATATTTAAGCAGCCTGGGAAATCACCTAGTCGGTTTAATTTGATCTCTGCGGTGGTGCTGAGGCTGTTTAAACAAATCCTCTCGTCTAAGTTGAAAGAGGATACAAACACTGCTGCTCCTGAACAACGTCTACTTGTGTTGTGTGGCGACAGCTTATGACTTTTATGGATTGCAGAAATTAAAATGATTGAACGTGTAATGCCAACATGGTCCCAAAGAAATAAAGAAAACGGAATAACGTGTAACAGGGTGTAGAGATGAGAAGGGTTGTTAGCAGTAACAGTCTAAAACACACACTGAGCTTCTAGACTTTCACAGCTTAGCGATCGTAGCATTACATTAGCACAAAGCTAACTTAAATCTGCACTCTATTAGAGGAATATCACATTTTAAGTGACAAAAGATATTTTAGTTTGAATCAAATTGGACACAAATGGAAATAGAGCTTTTCCTCATCATGAGTGGTGTAATCTGAGTTTATGTGATGCAGATTTTCCGTCAGTTTTCTGCAATTTACACTTAGACTGGTGTAGGAAAAGCTTTCTACTACATAGAGTAAGGTATGACCCAGTCCCTTTGGTCAGATGAAGTCTTATTCCACACTCAATTGGGGTTATTTTAACATATTTGTTCACAGATAAAACAAGCAGTTGTTCACCAGCGCTCATCAGCTCCAAATGAAACACAGAGATGGAGAAAAAATTCACAAGAGCAAAACTAAAACAAGTACAAATCCAACTGTAAGTCAGCATTCTCCATCCCACTTGTGTCAGTTCAACATGAAGCAGGCGGTAAAAAAAACTAAGTATTGCACTGGTTGGGTGTGAGTCTATGGATGGGCGGTCATCATATAAATAACAACAACAAGAACCAAACAGTTTTTACCATAATAATAATAATAATAATAATAATAATAATAATAATAATAATAATAATAATTGCAATGCTAATAAAAACAGTTCAGACTCTGCTGGTTTACCACTGCTGCCAGCTGAAGTCGTCGTTGGATCCGAAGACGATGAAGAAGCCCAGGATGGTGCTGAAGATCACCACGTTCCCCGTTAGCACGAGCGCACACGCCCCCCAGGCGATCTGAGAACAAACGCATCAATAATTCACATTAACAAATGCTGCGCTGAATGCTGCCAGGCTTCAGCGCATATTGAGGGCAAAATATACCGGCTGTCAACAGCAAGAGTTTACAGAAACACTTCCACATACTGCTCTACGATGAGATGTCAACAGCAAGAGTTTACAGAAACACTTCCACATACTGCTCTACGATGAGATGTCAACAGCAAGAGTTTACAGAAACACTTCCACATACTGCTCTACGATGAGATGTCAACAGCAAGAGTTTACAGAATCACTTCCACATACTGCTCTACGATGAGATGTCAACAACAAGAGTTTACAGAAACACTTCCACGCTGTTGTTGTGTTCAGGAGGAGACGTTAACAGCGGCTAAATGCTAATCATGTCAAACTGCAGCCGGTACCTCCGTCTTTCAGGGCTTCTGCTATGTGGCCAAACATGTTTTCTTTTACAGTCATTTTTGTTAATTCACTATCTGGTTTGACTGTTTTTTCCTCAATGGGATATGGCTGTTTG